GTATATATATATGTAGTATGTATATATATATGTATATGTTAGTATATATATGCTTAGATATATCTCTGTCTTTGTACATACATATATCATACATCATAATACATATAAAAGAATCAATATAATAAATAGTAAAAATAATGAATATATATATAGATATATATATATAATATATATATGAAAAATAATATAATAATATAATAATAAATAAAAATATATATAGATATTAATGAATATATATATATTAATAATATAATATTTTATAAAATATAATGTGTTATAATATAATTAATATAGTATAATAAATAAATATATATTAATATAAAATATTATTTAATATTATATAGAATATAATAATAAAATATGAATAAATAATAAATATATATATAATGATATGATATATATATATATAATATTATTATTTTGTAAATATATTTAATATTTTGACATATAATTAACGATAAAAATAAAAAATATATTATTATATTTATTGAATTATTTATAAATTAATATAATATTGATATTTATTATTGTTTATATATAAATAAAATATATTAATATATATAATCAATACAAATATATAATATACATAACTACATATATAATATACAAATACAATTATAATATTATATGAATACTATAATATTACAATAATCTATATAATATTAATTAAAATTACTAATATTATAACACAAAAATACAAATATAATTTATATATAATATAATTATATATCAGAAATTATATATAATATATAAGTATAAATACTGTATTAATATAATATAATATATATAACTATATGTATTGTGTAATTAATATACATATATTATTATATGTATTATGTATTAAATAAATATAATTAATATATATATGTATTTTTAATTTAAATATAATATAATGATATCAGATATAATATTAAATATATAAATGATTTGATAAATATATTATATAAGTATAAATAATTATATATTAAATGTATAACTTATATATATTTTATTATATATATATATATATATATAATATTATAATATATATATTATAAAATATATCATAACAAATTAATTATCTAAATATATCTAATCTTATATTATTAATATAATATCCAGTTATTTTTATATATGATATTATATGTATTTAAGTATATATATATTATATATTAAATATGTAAATATTGTTAATATATATATTAGTTATTCTGCATATATATATATGTATTTGTATATATATAGATATTTGTATATATATAATATATATTGTATTTGTTAAAGAATATAATATTAATAGTATTTTGTAATATATAAAATATAATAATAACTAATATTGGCCATATATATTATAATATATATATGTATTTGTTATTAATATATATAATAATAATATATATGTATTATTGTGTATATTATATAATATTGTATATTGATATATTATTATATGATAAATTTATGTAATATAATATAATATTAAATATATATGTATTTGTATAAATATTTATAATATGTATTTGGATATTTTATTTATAATATATGTATTGTTAATTATTATTATACTATTATATAAGTATTTGTATATTATATTATATATATGTATTTGTATATATATATGTGTGTATTGTATAATATATATATATGTATTTGATATTATATATATGTATTTGTATATATAATATATATATATTATATATGTATTGTATAATATCATTATATAATTGAATATTACTTTCCCTATTATATATTATATGTTTATTTGCCTAATATATGTATATGTATATTTAGCTAATAATCGTGAACTAGTTGATTAATATTAAGTTTATATGTATATAATTATTAATATTATATGTATTGTTAATTGTTCTTATATAATATTATAAATATATTATATATTGTATTTGTATATATATATGTATTTATATGTAGATATATATGTAGTTTGTGTGTTGATCATGTTCTTTAGTATGGTAGTTTGTGTGTTTAGTGCAGTGTTGTGTGTGGTGTATGTGTTATATATAATATTATAATATTAATGTATTTGTAACAATAATATATATTAATATATGTATTTTGTACATTTATATATTATATTATACTGTATATATATATATATATGATGTCATTTGACATAATTATTTGTTATAATATATATATATAATTGTATTATGTTATATACAAAATACATATAATTAATATATATTAATTGTATATATTTGAATATATATTATAATATATATATTAATGATTTGTTATATATATTATATATATTATGTATATTATATGTACATAATATATATATATATATGTATATTGTATTAATAAAATATTGATATATATTATAGTTGAATACATGATATATTAATACACATATATATGTTATTTGTACTATATATAATGTTATTTGTAATTATATATAAGATTATAAGTATTTCTATATATATTATTATAATATATATTAATGTATTTTAATATATTATTAATATTAGTATATGTATTTGTATACATATATTAATATATTATATGTAATATTGTATATTGGTGTAATATATTATATGTTAATTATATATGTTTAATTGCTATATATAATATATAATATTGTATTATTACATAATATATTGATATATGTATTTGTAATTATATTAAATATATAAATATGATATTATTAATATAATAAATATATATATATATAATTATATATATAATATTATTTAATATATATATATATATATATATTATATGTATATATACAATATATATATTATAAATATATAAAAAAATCTATATAAAAAACAAAACTATCACATTATATCATATATATATAATAATTTATATATATATATATTATATTTAAATAATTATATATATATTATTATATATATTTATATAGTTAATATATATATTATATAATATTATATATATATATATATAATAATATATTATTATACATATATATATAATATATAATAATTAATATATATATATTATATATATTATAAATATATTATATAATATATACATATATTATATTAACTTATATATATATATATATATAAAATCTACTATATATAATATTTATACATGATATATACAGTACACTACTATAAAGTTATATATGTCTATAATTATATGTATATATATATAATTATATATATATATATATACAAACATATATTATATATTATATATTATATATATATATATAATATATATAATTATATTTATATAATTATAATATATTATAATACCACCCTCCTCTATCACTAGACTCACAAAATATATATATCCACATTTATACTATTACTACTATAAAACACCACACACACCACACCCCCACCACACAACACTGCATACACACACACACACACACACATCAACACTTCTATCATATCATTATATATTAATGTTAATTTTAAATACATATATATATATTATATAGTATTTGTATCATTATATAATATTATATATATAATTATGTTTTATTGATACTCATATATATACTACACATCATAATGTACAATCTGTATATATACATAAATAATTACCCATACCACTATTATGTATATGATAATAATCTACTACCACATATTTGATATTTGCCATATTATATATATATATATATTAGTATTTGATATAGACTTATAATTATATATATATGTATTTGTACATTAATATATATATTATATTATTATATTATTTAATATTGTATTGTATATATATATATATATATATGTATTTTTACATATATATATATATGTATTTATATATATATAATATATGTATTTTATATTATATGTATATATATATATGTATTATGTATATATATATGATTTGTAATATATATATATATATATATGTATTTGTATATTATAATATATGTATATGTATATGTATTATATGTATTGTATATATATATGTATATATAATATATATATATATTATATATATATGTTACATACATACACACACATGTATATATATTATATGTGTATGTTGCTTTTAATAACAAAATGTTAGCACAAAGAGTATGGCCAACAACAGCAGTGACCAATGCTTTGAAGCTGATCACATAATTTGAAAATGAATTAGCACCTCATATCATGAGGCAATAAATCTTATTTAATAGCTACCTGTTATTCTTTTAGCAGTTAATCTTTACATGTTTTGTATACTTTTAATCATATGATCATGCTATAGTTTCATTGTATAGAAGAAAACATAATATTGTCTATGTATTCCATAAAAATTGGTTTTCCTAAAAGCGATTGAAATCTGTGACAGGATTGAAGGATCAATGGAAATTGTATGGAGGGTAACCAATTTATGCATATATTTCATCCCTAGTAAATATCTGTTCTAATGTCTTATTTAATAATACAATGTATATATTATGTATACATGATAACCATATAGACTAACATTTGTCTTTGGACTTTCTCTTGGGTTGGATGGGGCCTGACATCAGATTACCTTACAATTTTTTGTTTTTGTTCTTATATGAATTCTTTTCCTTACAGCATGCCTTAAGGTTGATTGCCTTCCGACAAATCCACAAGGTTCTTGGCATGGATCCTATTCCTCCACCAAAGTTCCAAAGAGGTGGACGCTTTACCCGCAAGAGACGAAGGGACAACTCCTCGGGCGAGGGTAATGACTCCGAGGGTGAGTTGGACGGTAGGCATTAATCCAAAGCTTTTGTTGTTTGAGACTAAGGTAGGTTGTGTGTCTTGTGTTTGAGCATAACTGTATGAAAGAGTCAAGAGAGAGAATGAAAGTGATATTAGGAAGGGAATGTGGAAATAGAGTGCAAGTGGAAAGACTGTGATTAACCTACTGGATCAGGAAACTTCACTGCCATCATGTGGCCCAAAATATAGGCATTAGGGGTATTTGATTGGCCACACTGACAGGTGCACAGCTTGTAGGCCAGGCACACAAACATTTGTGTATGGTTACAAGACTCCTCCCCTTCACAAGTGCTTTCTCTCTGTCTCTCTCTCTCTCTCTCTCTCTCTCTTTTCTTTCTTTCTCTCTTTCTCTTTCTTTCTCCTCTTTTCTTTCTCTCTTCTCTTTCTTTTCTCTTTCTTCTCTTTCTTTCTCTCTTTCTCTTTCTTTCTCTCTTTCTCTTTCTCTTTCTCTTTCTCTCTTTCTCTCTCTCTCTCTCTCTCTCTCTCTCTCTCTCTCATTTATCTAAGGACTTTTTCTTTATTTTTCTTTTATTAGAGAAATAATGTAAAAGCTTGCTTCCTAAATGCCAAGTCTAGTCATCCTCCAAGTGGATTGTGCATTAGTGGCGAGTCATTCCAGTCACCTCAGCCTTCAGCCAAAATGCTCATGATGGCAAGTTTGCATCTCCCTGGCCCACAGCTAAATTTTCCCATGACAACAATTTCATGTTATTCACCCCTCCAGCTAAATTTTTTCATGTGATAGTCATGTCATTTGGGATATAGGGGTTCAGTGAACAAGAGAGATAAAGGGCGAGAATGTGAAAATGAATGCAAATGAGAGGGAAGAAAAGCTGAGTCTTCGGTTCTCTGCATGCGTGTTGACTGGTTTCAAAGTTCAGTATTCACCAGATAGTGCATTCCTTTTGATATTGATATTGAGCAAGACCAGAAATATTTTGTAATGGCCTCATGATAAGAATGTCTTTGCATTTAAATAGTAGTTTTAAATGGTTATATAATATAAAATTTGCTCACTTTTTACAGGTGGAGATGGGAAGAAGGATAAGAAGGAGGATGGAGAAGAATCCAAAATGGAAATGGATAAAGAGACAAAATAAGATTCTTTTACAAAGGTGCTTGAATAGATGTTTAGTTTTGTCTAATAAATTTTGAGAAATATTTCCAGGGTGAAAGTAGTATACAATGTTTCAACAATTGTATTAAAAGAATGATATTTTCGGATGATTTGCAACTTGTAATGATTAATGCATTCTGTACTTTCTAATATAAATGTGTTCCTTTTATACGAGTTGGTTCCATAATTTTAATTTCAACCTGACCAACTGTTAATGGCTTAAGGGCATTTGCTTTAAATATATTATTTTGATATATTTGTCTAATTGCTTGGTTTATAGTCATCAAACTCCTAAAAAAAATGTATGTTGGAATAGTATGTGGTTGATGTTTAATATCATCCTTTGTATATTTATTATCTTCATTATAATTTTTATGATTTTTTATTTTCATATTCTGCACGAAATGGTTACAGGCATTAGTTAATATCCTTAAATGTGTCAAGTAAGGCAGAACATATATATAAAATATATATATATATTTGAAAATTCATTTACTCCGAGTCCAGTAGATTTATACATGTGTGCTGGCAGACATTAATGCTATCCCCTTTATACTGTAGAGTGAAAAGAATGAATATGAACTCTGCCGGCAGATTAAGGTGGCCTGGTACTTGCTTCCTTTGATAGGGAGAAACCATGTCCTTTTAAGCTATCGGTTATCTCACATCTCACATCTCGAGGGCTTAGCATCATGATCCACCAACACGTCCATTGGAAGTCTGACATTAGGATTAAGAATCGTTAAAAGTTCCCCACCCTCCTTTCCCTACCCCTCTCTCCCCCTTTTTCCCCATTACCTTTCCCTCCCTAAATATTAATGAGAACTAGTCATCGCAATTGCTACTTGGTCCTCATGCCCCAGAAAGCAGTGCGGGGTAGCATATTTCGTGCTAGTTGTTTTAAACTTAAAATATTTCGAGTACAGTATAAAATAGATCTTTTAAAAGGAAGAAAGGAAGGAAAAGAAAAAGATATAAGGTTGAAATAATTTGATATGGAAGTTTTTTTTAGTAAAATCTTAGGTGAAACGTTGTCATACATTCAATTTGTAATATAAACTTTGATTTAAAGTCAAGAGAGAGAAAAGTATCTGTTACTTTGTTTATTGAGTAAAGAAGTGTAATAACAAATAATCAAAATGGAGAAGGATTATTGCTTAAGTTGAAAAACAATACAGAGTACTAGGTATAGCTTCTAAAACAATGGTACATGTAAAGAAAAAAAGCATTTTTTGAATTTTTAGAGGTGAACTTTGGTTCTGCCAGCTTAGCCAAAATTATCTTGTAGCTTATAGTTGTTCCTCAGTGGTGATAGATTTGTTTCTGGTTATTAGGTATCCTTCTCCGAAAGTAAAGGCTATTCTGTATAAAAAATACTGTTTCAAGAATTATTCAGTGCAGTGTGCATCTTGCTCGTTTCATGTAGAACAATTGGATGATTATACCCTCTTTTCCAGTGGGTTCTGTTGTGTCACATAGGTAAAAAATAAAAAAAATATATATATACTAACTGAATATTTTTAACCAGTCTACCTCTTTTTTTAATGGAAAGAATATTGTTTATACCAGGTACAGACTGCAAGATTATATGTACCTGGTTTAAACTATATAAACTGATGGTTATATCCCACAACAAAAGAACATCTTGAATGGTAAAGTACCTCATAGGCCAGGAAAATAAACTGCTGCATATACAACACACAATTCTTATTATTTTTGTAGAAGCCAAAGGATGAAAAAAAAAATTATAATAATTTAGAGGTTTATTATACTACTGCAATAATTACCTATTAAAGTAAATATACTAACACTGGCAGTAATTAAGAAATTGTCATATTTATTAAATTCAATATCATTAAATGGAGTCAAAGCTACATAAAAATATATACTATATTTAACAATAAAATATTGCACCAAAACATTTAATACATGGTACTCATGAAATATCACTACTGTAGAAATTCACATTTCTTCAAATAAAAATACAAAAACCTGTAAAGTCTTTGAACACTTTGTTATAGTTGTGACAATTTTTTTTACATGCAAAAATAATGTATAAACCCCTCTAAATACTTCAAAATCTAGCCCTTACAGCAAAAAAGGAATTCAAGTCCATTCTTTGATTGAAACGATTGCCATGCTTACGTAACTTGACTACTCTAGAGAAATTTTACTTTTAAGTCTTGTGCCACAGATATAAAGCATGTGTAGTAGAGCAAATTGTATATATCCCTCGTGGATGCATTCTACCTGATTGTAAATGAAGTTTTCGGACTGCAGAAATAAAAAAATAATAATAATGATAGTGTGATACCCAGAATCTAGCTATGACCTGTCACCTGTGTGAGTATTGATTACCGAGATTCTTTTTCCATCAGGGCTAATACTACTCCCATGTTTCTACAGCTTCTACATTCTTCATTAAAATGCATGAGTTTTATTTCTGAACAAAGGATTCCTGACTGACTGGCAGTGGAACTAAACCTGTGGCTTGTCACAAAGTCCAATCATTTTATACAGGTTGTCGTTATCAGTCAAACAGTTGACCATGAAGTGTCCTAGGTCATGCTTGGAAATGGTACGACCTGGCCCCTTCCCTTGTGCTGTGATGTAGTCTCCCTTTGCCGGTTCATCTGTTCAATTAAAATAATAGTAATTATTATATTACTTTATTTTTTACTAATGTTTATTTTTAATGTTGGGCTTACCATGCTAATAACAGGGGTCCTAGAAATTACAACTATATAATCACTGTAACCTCCAAACACGATAAACCCTCATCTACATTGATAAAGCACTGCCTGACAGGCTCTTGCCAGCTGTAAAGGACAAATTTACGGGCAAACCAACAGAGTGGCATGCCCATGGTCGAGTGAAATCACTAAAGAAAGACAGCCTGGTTATATGACTATTTACTGATGGGTATAGAAGGACGACCCTGCCAAACTGGGCACTCCCATAGTGTGGACAGGGACTAATAGTTGCCTTAAGGACGACATACACACTAGGAAATTTCTCATGTCTTCCAAGTCGTTCACATGATTCACCTACCATGAATATTCTTCAAAGCCAAAGTAAAAAGACCGAGAGGACGTAAAAAATAATCCACCATCTATAATGAAGACCAACCTGTAATATGTGGTGGAAGAACTGCTACCCATTCCCGGCTGCTCGCCTTTAGAGCTTCAAGCATGCGAGTATGGTCGTCCAGTATGTTGAGGAATCGCTCGGGAACCTTTTCGCGTTCCCAAAAGTTGAAGGCTGGGAAAAAAACGATTGTAAATTTTAACAGGATAAACGCTGTTTCTTTCTTTAGACCAGTCGACCATTTTGCACACAATTGGGATCTTTAACATGAGGTAAGATTATAGGCACATCTTTCTTCAAGACATACATTATTTTTGATACTTAATTTTTAAAATACACAAAACGGAGAAAAACATGAACATTTACATGAGAGACACGCTGAGACACGATTAACGTTGTACTTCTCCATCGCACTGAGCACATTCTTCGTTCCCTCTGACATCATCGTTGTAGGACCTTTATTAAGAGAGTGATAAATAGAACAGATGTGGGAGTTTTTAAGTTATGTCTTCAAAATCCTCTCCCCCACTAAAATAAACTTCTGCATGAAATATGCATATCAAAAGTAAATAAATCCGTGCATTTCCATGTGTCATGTAGAAGCATAGTATCCTTATAGAAGATACTAAAAATGGTAAGAGGGATGTAAATAGAGAGAAAGGGAGGGGAGGGAAGAGAAAAGAGGGGGGGGAGGAAGATGAACGAGTTAATGATTAATGGTTAAAACAAATAAATAAGCTAGTCATCAAGATCATATAGCCCTATGATAAAGTATAGTAGCGAAAAGATTATTGTAGTAGTGTAAGAAGTCAAAGGTTGAACAACACTATGGGGTAGAGAGGAGCAGATGGGTATAGTATATGGTAAGGGTTATTAAAGGGAGAAGGAGTTGAAGTAGAAGGGCGATTAGATCAAATGGAGGATATTTATACGTCTGAGGAAGGAGAAAAAGTTGTTAAAGGAAAGGATAAGGGATTCCGAGAGAACGTCTAACTAATTGGGGGTCGGTAAAGAAAGAACAAGTAAAGGCAGAGGTAGGTACAGGTTGCCGTAAAACGGAAACAGGATAGAATGTGTGGAACTGAAAGAATAACAGGGCATAAGGAGCATAGAGTTGAATTTGATCGTGACATGCGATAGGAATGTGTGGGATTTGCCCAGTATGTAATCGGGCAAGAGCAGTTTCCCAGCATCTATTTTGATGGAAGATGAGATGAGAGGAAAGGAGAGGAGGTATGGGAAGGAAACCAAAGGAAGGCATAGGAAGGAAAGGAAAGGATGGGAGGGGAAGGAAAGAAAAAATAAAGGAGGGAAATAGAGGGGAGGGAAAAGGAAGGAAAGAGATGGAAAGAAGAGAGCTGGGGAGGGGCAGGGATAATAAAATCAAACCTCACTTAGGTCATTCCGCGTGCCGATGACAATGACAACGGCGTCCTGCCCCTGCACAGCATCGTCAACCTCATATTCATTCAAGATGTCACCGACTTTCACGGTCACCTGAGAAGCCAAGGGTTCCGGTAGTTTAGCGGGGTCGCGGATGAATGCGGTCGTGTCGTATCCTGCAGTGAGTGAGAGAGAGGACATTTATTTTTAAATAGTGATAATGATAAGCATGATAATAATTATGATGTCATCAGTAAAATAGCATAAATAAACAAATAATAAGGAGAAATCAAGATAAAAAAAAGAATAATGGCAAAAAAATCTCAAAATTCCCAGTACATTCATCAAAAAGCATATCTTTAAAAAGATTACTCCATGTTGGTTGCCACACCTGCTAAATTGCACTGCAGTGAACTTCCCACAAAAAACGACATACATTTCCAAAATATAAACTTTATTCGCATAGAAACCGGTCTTCACTTCTTAACATTTACTGAACTGCACAACTATCGCCCTTCTATAAAAACAGGGAAAAAAACAACGTACTGTTTACACAACCAAAATATAAACTTATTTGCATCGACACCAAACAAGCCTTCATCTCATTACGAGGTGTATGAAATGATCAAAATATATATGAGTCAAACAAAAACTATTACACCGAAGCGAGGTGCTGAGACGCAGAGAAGTGAGCGAGAGAGAGGATATTCCCTTTACCAGAGCGGGTGTACCTGCTGACCCTCCCTCCCTCTATGCCATTCCCTGCTTTTTCCTTGCGGATTTCGGGGTAATGGGTGGATTCTCCCTCATGATCGTACATTGCCGCCATATGCAACGGGTTCCTGAAGGCAAGAGAGAACGGGGCGAAGGTGACAGAGGTTAGAGGGAAAGGGAGCTTCAGACAGAGGGTGAAGTGAGTGGGAGTGGGAGTGGGAGTGAGAGGGTGATGGGGAGACAGAGGGAATGAGAGGGTGAGGGAGAGAGGGAGTGAGAGGGCGAGAGACACAGGGAATGAGAGGGCGAGAGACACAGGGAATGAGAGGGTGAGGGAGAGAGTGGGAATTAGAGTGAGAGTAAGTGAGAGTGAGAGTGTGAGAGGGAGAGAGTGACAAGAGGAAGTGAGAGGAGAGAGTGGGAGACAAGAGGAAGTGAGAGGGAGAGAGTGGGAGACAAGAGGAAGTGAGAGGGAGAGAGTGGAGACAAGAGGAAGTGAGAGGGAGAGAGTGGGAGACAAGAGGAAGTGAGAGGGAGAGAGTGGGAGACAAGAGGAAGTGAGAGGGAGAGAGTGGGAGACAAGAGGAAGTGAGAGGGAGAGAGTGGGAGAAGAGGAAGTGAGAGGGGAGAGTGGGGGACAAGAGGAAGTGAGAGGGAGAGAGTGGGAGACAAGAGGAAGTGAGAGGGAGAGAGTGGGAGACAAGAGGAAGTGAGAGGGAGAGAGTGAGAGACAGAGGGAAGTGAGAGGAGAGAGTGGGAGACAAGAGGAAGTGAGAGGGAGAGAGTGGGGAACAAGAGGAAGTGAGAGGGAGAGAGTGGGAGACAAGAGGGAAGTGAGAGGGAGAGAGTGGGAGACAAGAGGAAGTGAGAGGGAGAGGAGAGTGGGAGACGAGGACGTGTGAGGGAGAGGGCGAGAGTGGGAGGATGAGGGACAGGAAGTGAAAGTGATATATACATAGGTAGATACGGGATTGACGACCGACTGGCTGTTAAACCTATCCAGTTAGACATAGCGCAAGCGACCGCCTAAAATAATTTATATTCGACTGGCCTCAGTGTATCCACTTTATGAAGAACGCACTATAATTTTGATGGGTTCTATAAATAACCTTCTAACCTTCTCGTTTCTCAAAGGTCATGCCAACTCCAGTGTCCTTTAATATCTGAATAATTCGATCCCTTAAATAATTTCGCAATGCATGATCATGCGATTAAGCACCATCGGTCTTCTAACTGCAAAGAATTGCGATGTTCGAGGCCTGAATATTATTTATTTCTTTAATGCAAACGCCTATTGCATTCCGACGCATTGACGTGTATGAAGCAATTAAATATCGTTTAGCTTGTGAAGAAATCACCGAAAATACATTTAAGTACATCGAGTCTACAAAGATGCACTTTTGCCCTAATGAATATTTATCTTCCCTGTCACGCAACGGAGACTGTAAAACAGGTGTCGCTTTGGAAAGCAAACATCTGAGAATTTAACATAACGGGGAAGAGGAGCGTGAGAAAGGGAGACAAGGACAAAGATGTAAATAAAGAAAAAAAAAAAATGGAGACAGAGGGTCAGAAGGGGGAGGAAGAAAGAGGAGAGAAGATGAAGAGGAAGAGAGAGAAAAGAAAGAGAGGGAGACGGGGAGAAAGACAGACAGAGAGAAAAGAAAGTGGGGCAGGAGGAGAGAAATAGGAAGTGAAAAAGACAGAGAAGAAACCGAGAAAACCGTGAGAGAGACTGGCAGAGCATGTCCCTACCCCGCACATATGCTAATGTGCGCGCAAGCCCGTCGCCGAGCGAGGTGCGCTGGCCAGAGTCGTTATCCAATGGGTCTTTATTAGATGATGGCGCTGCATTGTTAGCCGCATTATCTCAAAGATACTCCCTCCTATGGACCTGCCCTGGGAAGAAGGGGCAGTGCTGCGCGATTAGATATGAATGGAACTTTTGGATTGTGGATACTTGTGCACCGTCAATGTATGTGTGCGTATACATGTAATAACACATTTACATTTACACTTATTCAAATCTACCTATGCATACACAAACGATTACACACAAATATAACTCACTTTCTCTCTGCCACATACACTCATCTCATTTGTGCGCGCGCGCGCGTGTGTGTATTTGCGTGAGATTACTGATTTCCTGTACCCATTCTCAGTAGCTACGCAGTCATGACGACATTCATGATTATCTCCGTAGTGGAACAGCGGATGCAGCTCGATTAATTGAAGCCATAATTGGGAGCTGTGTGCACGTGAAATGGGAGAAATCAAACAAAATCCATCTATTTTCTATCTATATCTAACTGTTCAACTTCAGTGAACATCCAAAGTCTAAACGGGCCTCTTCTAATGTGGAGTTCATAAAACCCTAAACAACAAAGAAGTAAACAACCGCAGTCCGAGTTGACAGACAACCAAACAAATCGACCCAGCCTCGCCCAGCCCCTAGGATTGAGAGAAATATTGCCTCTCAGACTGAACGCGCGATTCCATCTAGTTATCGCCTGTTCTTTTTTTGACTGAATGCATATATTTTACAGAACAGATATATATGATTATAAATATACACATTAAAGTCTTGCAGGTGATTTCTACCTGGCTGGGAGATTAAAATGCGGGAAGGATTTGTATTCCTGTATCCCAGGTTTTTCTTTCTTTACAGCATAAGAACCTATTAAATCTATTCGATACATCCTTTGTCTCATAACATGAAGCGAATCCACAACTCGTTAAACTCAGGCAGACTATGTATCGTGTGACTGCGCACTTACTTTTCATCAGGTTCGGAACTACAACACGCGGGAAGATCTAGCATTGGAAAAAAACGGACTCTGGTACTTTCGCTGAATATTCTGATCATCGCTTAAAATAATCCCAAAGCCTTCTTTCTCTCTTGCCTTCGCGGGCTATCCTCGGGCGCCAGAGCAATGTCTAGACTGGAGTAACGAGCTGCTATAGAGGCTAAAGAAGACGCAATGCGGGAGAGAGGCAGTCCTGTGTACTACTGATACTTTCACTTTCAACAGTTGTCTTTATTATGAAAACGAAGAGAGATGATAAATAAAAGATAGTTTTTTTTTATTCATACAGATGTCTGTACTGGTTCCTGAAAGAAGTCCTAGTGGAAGAGAAATGGCAAATTACCTTTAATCGTGAGAAACATGGCACAAATGCGTGAGCAAAAGGACCTCTAAATGGTTTGGACGATACACATAATCCATAAAATAAGGACTAATTTGATTTTGAGTATATTTTTATTTGAAGATAACCATACTTTTCGAACGAATGTTAATATTGCATTGATATTTGTAGAATATAATTGCTTGAATATAAACCAATCAGAGGAGAGAGAGAGAGAGAGAGAGAGAGAGAGAGAGAGAGAGAGAGAGAGAGAGAGAGAGAGAGAGAGAGAGAGAGAGAGAGAGAGAGAGAGAGAGAGAGAAAATATATATATATATGTATGTGTGATATATATATATATATATATATATATATATATATATATATATATATATATATAATATATCGGGTTGTGTGTGTGCGCGAGCGTGTATATTTTATATTATATAATATTGGGCAATGGTTTCTAACCTGTGGGGGCGCCCCATACAGAAGCACTAAGGGCCTTGGGGGGGGGGGGGAAGGGTCGATAAAGAGGGAAATTATATTTGAAAACTATTAATTACGGTGGTAGTTGAAAAACTAGAACAGGTAAGTGTATTTTTTTTTTTTTTTGTAATTTTACTGACATGTGCCGAGTAAGGGGCAAGAGACGTGTATTCAGGAGGGGGGGAAGATAATTAGCAAAGGTTGGCAAACCTATATAGGGTGATGCAATAAGCGCAATGTGGTATTAGATGACTTCACAAGCGGAAACAGAATTTCCTCCCTGGTAAATCTTGTGATCAACTAGTAAATATGAATGAATTAATAAAGAAATAAGACCGGATGATGGCAGTTCAGTGTCTCTCCCTCCCATAAGAACAAACAAATAAAATACGAACAAATTACATGTGCACAGTTGTATTTCGGGGCAATAAAATACGGCACTGACGGAAAACAAAAGATGTTCGACGGTTAAACTAAATAAAATAAAATAAAATAAAATATAGGAAGACATAAGGAGAATGGAAGATGAAAACAGTACATGAAGGACTTTAATTACACAAAGGAAATGAGTCTTTTCATAGAGCATGTACCAATTACAAGTCGAGAGTAAACAGATTAACGGAAAATTAACACGATTATGATATGAAACGCACAGTTAAAGCCAATTTACTTGCAAATGCCATTTGTCTTATTGAATGACTTCGTTGTCCGAGGAACACTGCACATTTACGGAATGTATTGCACGATTAAGTCTCGATATTGCCATATCTCTAGCTAATATAGGCCATGTTGCCAATGGTACATGGCGCTCCATGGGGAGAGAATAAAGCGATAACTTTGTACGCTCTGCCTAGAAAGGATACGTATGGAACTTAAAAAAATAGATAGAAGCCTGAATATTTGATAAAACAATCACAAGGTATTCTCAAAGAATCACACACACACGTATATAAAAATAAATTCATTTTTTGTACATATGATTATACACACTGTATTGTACATTCAAAATGAATTCATCGCTTGTAACAAATCTGCGTTTCCTGATACTGCGGCCTGAAAAACGAAGGTGCGTTTGTTTTTCTGTGCATCTGCGTTTGTTTCTGTTTCTGTTTCACATTCACTCTCTCACACTTTTGAGGGGCGTGCACGTGCACACAGAAAAAAATCTATAACTTTACATCATTGTTTGTATCAGACTAGACGTATATACTGCTTATTTATACATACAAATATATCAATTTCTCACGCATCCCATTCATAAAGATACATTTTCATTTATTTGGTACAGCCCACCACAAGATCACTTCGTGACAGGTCATTCACTCTGATAGAAACTGCTGCTCCTCTCCAACATCATCTTTCTGGTTACCGGTTATTACTGTATAGCTGGTCATTATTACCCAATTCTTCCTTTGTAGTTTTTTCGTTTTGTCTTTTTCTTTAATTGCTTGAAAATATATTCGAACAGACATTTGTATTTCACATAAGTATTAATTGGGAAAATTTTAAACATCTAAATAATTCAGAGAATGCTATAAAGGAAGGCACAAAATTTGATGTCTATACAGGGACACTGACTTGGTGATTAGCAACAATAACCAGTAGCTAACCTTTGTAATATCAGAACAGATGTGAAGCAAAATATCCTTCTTTACCTGACCATTAATTTGGTGTGGAGTTTCTAAATGTGATAAACACTTATATAATTCACATTCTATCACAATAAATGATATATACAAGTTCTAAAATATCTATCACTTTCAAATGTATTGTACATATGGAGAGCAGCTCTATGATGTAATGTTATTGGGGAAGAGTTCAAAAAGAAAAAGTAGGGAACATACATAGAAAAAAAATAAATGAGAAAAAACTAAAATATATCAATGCAGATGCATGATAATTCAATCTAATCAGCAATAAAAAGGATTAAAATGGGAATGTTGCAAGAAACACTAAACACACAGAGAAACAATAATGGCATTAAACTAAATCAAGAGGAAATAAATAAAAAGGTTTCCTATTTCTAAAGTCATAATGGTATCAACCTATGGAAATAAAACAAAAGATGATCAGAAACAATTATTTATTCCCAACATCCATTCAATACAAATCATGAGCTATTTACATATAAAAATGCTCTTTAAGCTGATACAATAAAGTGATTAATATACAATAAATTCACAATGACACATCCCTAAGTACAAAAATAAACACTAATTCTACACTCAATATTATGGTCAGAAAATGCATCAAATTTGAGTTAGTAAAACAATTATAATGACACTTATGTTCTGAAAATCTCAGACAACTACATATGCTTTATCAAGTAAATATCCAAAACATATGAAACACTTCTATCCACATTTAAGAAATTTTACTAACAGGATCTAAAAAGAAAAAATATATAGAAATTTGAACTACAAAGTCTCAACCATTAGTTCATGCTCTTTTGAGAAGAATTAGTATTACAGAACTATTGCATTGCCCTCAATTCCCTCATTATTCTCCCTTATAGTCTGGTTTCCTCTTTTCTCTGAAGGCCGTAAGACCCTCAATCCTGTCTTTTGTTGGGATGACTTGGGCATAACAAGCCTCCTCAATGGACAAGCCAGTGCCAAGGTCAACCTCCATCCCTCGTGAGATGGCAGTCTTGGCCATCTTGACACCAATAGGGCCATTGGGGAGGATTTTTTGTGCCAGATCCAGGGCCTTGTGGTATGCAGCATCTCCTGTGTCATTCTGGGGGGTCACATGATTCACAAGGCCTATTTCAGCAGCTTGTTTGCCGTTGAGTATTGCAGCTGTGAAAATCAGTTCCTTTGCCTTTGCAGTGCCAATAATGCGAGGAAGTCGCTGGGTTCCTCCAGCACCGGGTATGATAGCCAGTTTTGTTTCCACTAGGCCCATTTTTGCTGTGTCTGCAGCAACGCGAAGGTCACAGGCAAGTGCCATTTCAAGTCCTCCTCCGAGTGCAGCACCATCCAGAGCAACAATCACAGGCATGGGTAGGTTTTCAATATCCGAGATGCAGCTACGGGCTTTGGCAACAAAGGGACCAACCTCTTCTGGCTTCATTTTGGCTCTCTCCTTCAAGTCAGCACCAGCACAGAATATGCCTGGCACAAGAGACCGCAGCACAACCACTCTTACATCGCGGCTGTGACGAACATCCTCAATTGCCTCCATGAACTCCTTCAGCAAGTTCTTACTAATTGCATTCTTGGCAGCTGGCCGGTTGAACCCAAATACTGTAACTCCCTCATGATCACCTGTTAACTTTTCTACGACAACATCTGGGCTTGTTGAAGAAAAGCAACGGCTGGGGACGCTTACCCAAGCCGAGCGAAACAAACGGACACTTGCACTGCGAATCATGTTCCTAATAGAGTGAGGTGGGTTTCACCTGTAAAAGTTGAAGGAATTGTTGTAAGAGATGTATTAAGAAAGTGTAGGAAGACTTCTAACACCCACACCAATGATAAATGAAAAAGAGGAGAGAAAAGAACTGGTAAAATATCTGTTTCTTTTGGATGACAGCAGACAGAAAATGTGGGGAAAAGACTGCATATAACAATTTCAAAAATGCAATCCAATTCAAATAAGTATTTCATGAATGACAATATAGTAAAAAAAATCTGTTGCTCCAATTAACTCAAGTTAATAGAGCAAAATTAATACAAACATCACATATTACTGATAAAAAATAACATTCAATCTGTGTGTAAGGAAAAACCTACATTTCATTATTTGTGAAAAGACATACGGACTCTCTAAAGCAAACTGCCTTTAGCTTTCACCATAATGACAACCTAAAAGAGAAACCCATTAGGTGAAATTGTATGTGTCAAAGAGAAAGTCTTAGATATTGTGAGACTTCGTTGATTCAGGTTTTACTTATTTTAGGTACAATCTTTTCATATCAACTGATAAGTGAATAGTCCATAAACAATCAGGGTATAACCTGTCACACACACACACACACACTCACACACACACTCACACTTCACACCAATACACTCACACAAACTCATATCCACAGACAGACAGACACTGCCACTGATAAAGACACACCCACCCACTCATACATACACTCATAATCATCACCCCCCCCCCACACACACACATACATAAAATTAAACACCCTCACACATGCATACAGTATTTTAAAAAAAATCACTCCCACACACATACAGTACATACATACAAACTCACATTCCCAGTTACACCCACACAAAAACACATTCCCAGTTACACCCACACACATACATACAAACTCACACTCTCACCCACACACATACATACTAATTCACACTGACACTTACACACATGCATACAAACAAACACACACTTACTGACACCCACACACATGCATACAACAAACGCACACTCATTCACACCCACACACATGCATACAAACACACACACACACATACAAACTCTCACACACACACAGACTTTTATCCACATCCCCACACACAGCAGATAAAAATATTCACCTAAATTAAATTTATCTTTAAAGAAATGTACAAATAACTTACTCCCTACCCCTTGCATAGTCTCTGGAAATTACTCCATATTTGCTGAATGCTACTACCACATACAGATCACTTTATTCTTATACCTGAACTTCATTCTTTCCTATCTTAAACTTCTTGTTTATCTTGGTGTTAATAAAGGACTTTTATCAATAATAATTTTGGAGTGTAGGTTAAGAATGGTTAGGTCTGGTCATGTCAGGATAAGAAATATTAAGGAGAGACTTGGTTGGGATGAACCCTGGTGAGGCAGGAGCATATATTACAGTCCATTATTATGAGACCTTCTAGTTTCTTATACAATGTACAGACTGGCTGATTTATAACATTTTTAGGTTATGAATAAATCTACAAAGCTTAATAAATTTATTGAATAGAATTGTTTGTATATTTTATTATATTCTTAGAAACTCAAGATTCCTTTATATATGCAGTAATATATAATATATATATATATTATATATATAGATATATATAAATATATATGTGTATGTGTATGTGTATGTGTATATGTATATATATATAAATCTATATATATATAGTATATGTATATGTATATGTATATGTATATGTATATGTATATGTATATGTATATGTATTATTACAAGTACAAGTGTACAATACAAGTACAAGTAAGTATATGTATATGTATATATACATACATATACATACATACATATATACATACATACATACATACATATATATAGATAGATAGATATATATACACGCACACACACATATATTTTTTTCAAATTCATCTCAATATTGCCAAGGTAGTAAATTAACCCTACTTTCTTTTAATCTTCCATGATGACAAAATCCTTACCCTATACTCAAATATACTCAAAGATATCACCAAGGCATTGCAACTTGTAACCACAGAGTTCAGAATCAAGGAAAAAATTATCCGAAGAATTGTAGTATAAGACATACATGGTAAACATTGGATGGAATAAGAATTGATAAATTCTCGCACAGTTATTCCTTTGCCAGTTATCAAAAGTAAAGAATAAAAAAGTGGTTTTACCTTTCTGATAAATAAACTGTGGTTTATGGAACCAAGCACTCACTTTAGCCTATGGGTATTGGGTGCTCTGGTAAAGGTCAACAAACCTCTACCATATGTTTGGATGGATAAAACTAAAATATTTCTTAAAACAAATTATACAATTATCAACCTTTCAAATGGCTTTTATTAGATTCTGAGCTTACTCTGTAGTAAATATTAGAATTTTGCTCTATCATGCCGAGCATACTGAGGTGAAGACAATGTTTGATTGGGGGAGGAGGGAGCAGTGACACCCTTCGACCCTCTTCTGGCACCAAGTCATGGTAATTTTGATAAAGTTTGTGACATTGAGTTCCAACCGTACTATAGAGAATTGCCAAAAGATTATCCAGGTAATTGTTTGATACAAGACAATGAAGCGAATCCACGTCCTCTGTGCTCTGCCAAAGGCCAACAAACTTCTTTCCTGGATATTTGGCAAGATAGGTCTCAGATTAGGTTCTTTTCTTGATGAGAAATTATATGGGAGGTCAATATGCTCTATCTTGTGACAACATACGACAGGGTTTGTGAGCTATTGCTGTGCAAATATATATTTGTATGCATGCTGCCAAAGTTGGAAAATTTGAAAAGTGAACGTGTCCTGCTTGCTGCAAGTTATTTTCTTTGTTTCACATTATTTGCAACAACTGAAAGAATTGTGGTATATATATATATTTTTTTTATATAAACTTTATTCTGCCAAATTGGTAATTCTGTACAATACAGATGCACACTCAGAGGCTGTCCAACTCCGTCACAAAATGGTTTCAAGAATCCAAGTTTTCAGCTTTGACCATTCATTACCATTCACGTCATGACTGATTATTTCTTGTAACGATGGCTGTATGGAACTGGACCTGTACCTTTTTGTCCTATACAAGAATATGAACTTTTATTTGCTCTAGCTTTGTGTGTCCATCCCGTAAAGATCAACTTTTATATTTCGTTTTGTATTTAACGTTGTTATATGTATTCTATTGGCATACGTGTACATATATGACCTGACCTGACCTATACGTGTGCATATGACCTAACCTAACTTAACTTAATCTAATCTTAAAAGGAAGAGAAAAATAGATCCTAATAACCTACGGTAACAAATTTATGAAAAAGCGATTGATTAGATTCTTAAAAATTCCTTAATAGAATAGTAATTAACCTCCGCAATGAGTGGGGTCTGATGTCAATTAGTGACTGAAAACGAGCAGAGAAAGAATTAATGTTTTATCGAGTCTGCCGGTGTACGTGCAGGCAGACATGGGCGTCATATCCTTGTTAAATAACAGCCTTTCACTACACTTCCTTTTTCTCTCTCTTTCTCCTCCTCCTCTCGCTTTATCCTTACTCGATTTCCTTTCTGTCGAGCTCTTCCTTGCTCTCGAAATGTCCCGGATAAAAGCCGGCGTGAGATAAGCGCCCTTCCCCCGACGCCGCAGAGAAACAACGAAAACAACCAAACACACAAACACGACAGACGATGTGCCTGGCGGGAAATTATCCTTAAATTTCTTTTATTCTATAGAATATTTGGCTCTAATTCACTCACCCAGCTGGACGGCAGCCTCGGTACAACAAAGACCTGTGTTCCCTGTAGCTCCGAAGATGACAAGGCGGCGGATATTAGCCATTTTACACGAAATAAGGATGAACGGGAAGCGATTTGATGATGAAACTTAAGGCCTCGCGTTCAAGATTGCATGTATTCCAGATGCCTTATTGCAATTATGTGTGTGTATTATATAGACTGAAATCTTGACATTTCTTTTATTTCAAGGCGGTGTAATCATTTTCACTAGCATTTTTGAGATACTGACACTGATATGGATGCGCAGGGTCATTATGTTTTTTGTCCATAAACGATGCATATTTGAAAGAAGAGTAAATGAATCCAAAAGCCCCAAAAATTGCACAAACCAATACACGTAATGCAAACCAGTACATTAACCAATTTTCAAAATTTGACACCCTAATACCCCCCAATTCCTTTGATTTCGAACGTCACCCCGTTCCGTACCCCCTGTCCAGCGTTCCGTTCCGCTATCCCGCTCGTTCCGTCCATCCATCCCGTTCCTGAACAGCGGAACAGTCAATTGAACACGGGAACAGCGCAAGGACGAGGGCCAGAGAGCCTTCTTGAGCTTCGAGGACTTTCGTAAAGCTTTCCGGGCGTGGTGGGAGCGGCGGCGGCGGCGGGGCGTGATGGCGGGCGGCGGCGGCGGCGGCGGCGGCGGGCAGCGGCCCTCGCGTCGGATCAGCCGCCGAAACCCGCAGGATGAATACGAACTCATCCAGCGCATCGGGAGCGGGACTTACGGCGATGTTTACAAGGTGCGGGCTTTGGGGCCAGACTCGGGGTTTATCTCTCGCTTGCCCTATTCTCCTCCTCTCTCTGTGCCAGGTTGCATTATTGCATTATTCTCTATTCCTATTGAACCTTGGACGTGGTTCTCTCGCTGTTCATCTTTGGGATTTTTTTCTGTCTGCTCTCTATTTTCTTTCTCTCCCTCCTCTCTCTTCTCTTCTCTGTGATTGTTTTCACAGAGATTGGTTCTCTCTTTTGTCACTTTGTATTCTGATTTTTCTTTCTTGCTGTGTATCACAGAAATTATTTTCTCTGCTCTTTATTCTTTCTTTCTCTCTCTCTCTCTTCACATCTCATTTCTAATCAATGATCCCTTTTCTCGTTGCTACTTGTCGCAAAGGTTTTCTCGCTCTTTATACATTTTCTTTTTGTGGTGAATATTTTTAGGGATATTTGTCTCTTTCTTTCTTTGGGAAATGTTTTGAAGACACTTGATGATCTGTCATTGGCCTTGTACCTGCTGGTGGGAACGAGCAGACCGCAATGTATAGTGCGGCCAGGGGGGAATATGCAGAACTCTCTAATGATATATTGCTAAATGAGGAGTTGGTCTGAGTTCTATAGTGCGTTGTGCAGGTGTTTTGGTAGTTGCTTTGACAGTACTCTACTGTCATCCTTAATTTGATGGAGTTTGTAGGCCACCATTCACAGATCGTAGTAATTTTATTTTGGTTTGGGTAAAAGAAAACCTGTGCAAGTACGAGGAGAAGGGTCAAATTTTTTTTTTTCTCGTTTTGGTATTGTGACTCATTGATGAGCTTCTTAAAATCTCATTTAGGTTGATATGAGTATATTGAATATGATATTCTTTTTGCTTTGCAAACCTTTAGTGTCTGAGTTAGTTAAAGCCAAGGGCACGCAAGTGTTTTTTTTAACCAAAGGCTGGCAGTAGCAATAAAATTTTCCAGGTGGTCCAATCTCTCAGTCAGCATAATCCTCTTCTCATAACAACTTGGTTGGAGGTTGAGTGAATAGTATGGATTGGTCAGAATTGGCGAATATGGCATGGCAAGAGAGTACAGAATTAGTTTTTCAAGATTAAGGACCTCACTTCCGCGTTTGTTCCCAGAATTCGAGTGTTGGGTAATAAGTCTGTTTGCCTGTCTCTTATAGAAATTCTTGTGCAGAAACCCTCCAAATGCCCACATTCTAGGCCTTGATAGCAGGGTTGGGGTTGAAAGGTATCAGGGAAATTGTGGGGCAAAATATAAGTAATATACACAAAATCAGGTACCTTATTGTCTAATGCAGGGAGCTATCCCCCCTGCAACCCCCCCACCCCATGCGGGCTGCCACCTCCCAACCCCAGTCCAAGAAAACAGAATCCTCTATATATTCACAGCAGAAGAGAGTGTCGTACAGACTCACCATCAAGGGATAGGGGACAGGAGTCCCCCATGGGGGGTTACTAGGGGCAGAGCCCTCTTCATTAGACAATATAGTGACTGATTCTGTATATATTATCATATTTTTTATCATTAATTCCCCTGGAACCTTTCATCCCCTCCCCTGTTATTGAGGCCAAGATTGTCGTTAATGGGGAGGGGGGGGGCAGTTCTGCAAAATAAAATCTTTATATTTGGATAGTGGAGAGTGAGAGGAATCCATCGATAACAAAATCATCACAATCCATCAGGCGGAATGATTCTCTAAAATTACCAAACTGCTTGTATTGCCTTGGCTAGAGGTAGAGAGACAAATTGTGTAAAATGCCAGTGATTTGTGCATAATGTAAAGTAAAATTGTAAAGTATGTTATTTTATATTCATCCACATTTCATACAATGTGCACAGCCTTTGCAGTTACTTCTGCACCTCTCTGTCATATAGTGTTATACTCTAAAAAGTCCTGCCTGTATATTCTGACAGGATGCCACGTACTAGTAAACTCCTGGGTGTATTCTGAAATGGAAATAATATTATAATTACATACATGTATTTTAAAATATAAGAACTGGCTCATATCTGCCTTGATTTGTCGAATAAGACCATGCCCTGAACAAAAGTCATAATGAAACTGTCCTTTCTTTATGCTTGGTAAATCCGTTTTAGTTTAGTTTCCATTGTTGGTTATTTTGTATTGATGAATTGAATGTCCAGGAAAGATTTTTTTTTTTTTATGGCTCTTTTTCTAATTGCAAATCAGTTTGAATGACAATTCATTTATTGATTGTTTAACTGAGGAATGAAGGTTGAGATGGGTACCTCTAGTTTCGTATTCCTTTATAATTTTTTTCCTTTCTTAAGAATTATTATCTTCAATATGTGCAGAAAATTTTGTAAATGAAAAGCATCTTAGATTTTATGAATTGGTTGAGTCCTTGTACTGTTTATATTGTCATACTTGTAAACTATACTAATGAAAATTCCAGTATTGATAACCATTGCAAATGTTTTATAAACATTCTTGTGGGATATTGTAAGAAATTTTTCCTTTTTCAAAAATTTTTGTCTGCTTTCTATAATCTAAGTATAAATTACCTATGTATCTCGCATGTTCATTCCCTTGTTACATACCATGAGAATTATTTCTTTCTTATCATCTTCTTCCTTTGTGTTTTTCAATTGGGATTTATTTTATCTGATTAGTTTTTTTTTTCTTTTTATCCAGTGAATTGTTATTTTTCCATTAAAAACAAATCTCTTCCTGAATCTTATCACACCTTTCCCTGCATTAGTCATTCTCTCTTAGGTCTTTAAATATTCTTTTTCAGTTTTAAGATATAGGCTAGTGTGAAAGGCTTTGGTTAGCAGTAGAGTTTTAGCATTTATTTTTAGACCTTTTCTCAGTGGGGGAGATTCGGAGGCAGAATTTAGCATTTTAGAAATATTTAACCCTAGTTGACAACTACGGTATATTTTTTTTTACTTTGCCATATTTTAGATATTTGATTATTACTTATCAGAATTCATACAATAAAAGGACTTAAAAGGAATCTAGATAAATGTAAGATAAGTATTTGAAATTAGAAAAAAAGTCTTAGTTAGTCATGTTAGGTATCGGGGGATGGAAGAGAGTATATCATTGTAAATATTATTTTTAGTTGTGGATTTAAAATATCTTTATTTTCTTTACTTCAGAATTTTGACTGACAGTTGAGAGAATGCTTTGATAAGAGTTAATTGTATAAGATTTATAAGGATAGGTTAGTTTTTATTTTTATTTATTTTATTTTTTATTTTTTATTTATTTTTTTTTCATTTATGATATCCTTATTCTCCATATAGACAGAGAGGTCAGTATAAATATGTATCTATTTTTGATTATCACTGATGGTATCAGTGGTCAGTTTGTGAGTCAAAATGTACAGATTTGTTTTTACTCAGATGCGATTATTAAAGGGAAGAGGCTCATTGAAAGGAAGGTAGAAGATCCATGGAATGAAAGTGAAAAACTCAAAGACAAAGTGGAGATTAATGAAAATAAGTAAGAAATGACGAGAAAATAAACAACCAACGTTCATAGAGAGTGGCCTATGATTAACTCAAATTTTGAAGAGGTGTCTCTTTTCTACACGCGATGTTTCTCCCGCCATCCAATTGTAAATGATTAAAAATGATGGGGAATATTGAAAATGAGCTTAGTTGGTTTATATTTAAGTAATGAATCTTAGAAGAATAGCTGACAGTGTTGATGTGGTACCTATTCTTAAGCTCCTTTGGCAAATTACAGTAAGATGATATAATCACTCATGTAAAACTACTTTACTTGTTTTTTAAGAAAGCTCTATAAAGTTAAAATATCATATCTCTAGTAATTTTTCAGCTGTCACAGGTCAGTGAATAAAGGGAATTTAGTAGTTCTAATATTTCTGCAGTGATATTTGTATATATATACTCTATACAAAAGTGTTTTTCACTCTTGAAGGGTGTACCACCAAAATATCTGATGCAGAAGTAGCTCCTTAATTCACTAAACATTTCTGGCCATTCTAATTCAGTTCAATCAAAGAAGTGATAAATATTTCTAGAATCTGTATATCATAATCTGTATTATGATACTTGAAAACATAGCAGTACTTTCTCCTGGATCTTATGGGAATATTAGTACAGTTTGCCCAGCATCCTCTATATCCTCATCTGAGTGACTAGATATAGTCTGTAGGTCAATTAATGGTTAAGGAGAGGGATACAGGCATTATCACAAATACACCAAACAGGCTTACACACATATAAAAGTCAGTATTGAAAAAAAAAAAAACTTTGCCAGACTAGTTGCTATAGTCAAGTTAAGCTCAACATTTTGGGGAGGTATCTTGATTTATTAATGATAGGCATTTCAGCTTGTTCTTATTAGCATTTTACTTTTTTTTTTTTTTTTTTTTTTTTTTAAGCTTGTAATGACCCGATTTGAAAAATGACTAGAAATACAAGACAAAAAAAAGAGATGAAATTTAAACAAAAGAATAAAAAGAAACATAAAAAAAAAAAATGCTTCAAGGAGAGGGAAATAGGATTAGCATGGGGATTATCAGGAAGCTTAATGCAGACATTCATAGCCTTAACTCCCCCAAGCCTGTGTGTACATAACTTACTTACCCATGCAGAACGATAAACTCTCAACGCCTTTAAACATATGTCCACATTTAATGATGTAGTAAATTACAAGGAAGTCATTAAAAATCTCACATTTGATTCTTATAATAGAGATATAAAAAGTTGCCATAATGATTTAATAATGATTGAATACCATCAGTAAGAGTGAGTGGGTGAGTGAGTGAGTGAGTGAGTGGGTGAGTGAGTGAGTGAGTGAGTGAGTGAGTGAGTGAGTGAGTGAGTGAGTGAGTGAGTGAGTGAGTGAGTGAGTGAGTGAGTGAGTGAGAGTGAGAGAGTGTGAGTGAGTGAGTGAGTGAGTGAGTGAGTGAGTGAGTGAGTGAGTGAGTGAGTGAGTGAGTGAGTGAGTGAGTGTGTGTGTGTGTGTGTGTGTGTGTGTGTGTGTGTGTGTGTGTGTGTGTGTGTGTGTGTGT